TGCTGAACACGCGTGTAGCCGCGCGAGTCTGTTGGAAACCTGTCAGCGTGGAGGAATTAAAGCGAAAAAAAGGAAAAAGAAAGGAAAAAGAAAAAAGAGAAACGATGTATCGGCCGGAAAGGCGGCAGGGGTCGAGAGTGGTGACGGTGACGCGATAATTAGCGCACAAACGGGGATCGATCTGGATACAACGGCGCGACGCGAGGAGAGCTGTCTGTGCTACTCTTCTTGATCAATCGCGAAGGAGACGAGGTGGTTCGCACCCTTCGACCATGTCTCGCGGGATTTTTAACGGAATAGTATTCGATGTTTAATTATCGCCTTCAAAGCACGTGCTCCCAGGCCTCGCTCGGCGAAGCGTTCGCGGACCTCATTGTTTTCTTGTTAAACCCGTTAGGTGTCGAAAAAGCGGCTCCAGTCGATCGTGTTTTCGATTATTCAACTGAGACGAAATCGTATATGATTGCGCGAGACGAGAGAGTTCTGCGTGAAGAATCGAGGTGTCGGTGCAATTAAACCGTATGTTAATTGCATGGTATATACTTTATACCAGTCTTATATAGTCTGGGAAGCTTGAGACGAGCGCATCGTACTAGTTCAGAATTCTGGGGGATATAAGAAATTTTAGTCATATTAAATTCTATACAAATATCTACAAAATTTCAATTTTGTCAGAATATTCCTTTCCCACGTACAATTCTATTAATTCCTTCCTTCATGATGATCGAGATACCTATTCGAGTCACTCATTTGCCAAATAGACTATGTCTATAGAATAACAACTATTTTAGAAATTTATTTTTAATATGAGAAATAAAGCATTAATACTTTCACTAGTGCTGAAGTTGAAAAAGATTTCTATAATTTATATTCACCGTATAAATATTGTACAATAATTGAACAAGAAGTTTAGTACCAGATTAATATCACTCCGTATATAATTAATATCATCGATATTAATTTTGCAGAAGAAATTAATAAACCCCTCTACCACTACATTCTCCTTTTATTCTTTACATATTTAAACACAATGAAAGGAACAAAGTCACTCGATTATCACGCTAAAACTATTTTCCTCTCGACGCTTCTTTCACCCCCTTCGAACGACCAGGAGAAACGAAAAGCAACCCTTAAGAGTGACTCTATAACAACAAATGAAACCGACGCGAGGGAAAAAGAATCTTCGAACAATCATCGTTTTTCCTCAAAGGGGTAACCACCACAAAGAGAGGTCGTGGTTGTTAAAAAGAAACGCGCAAAGTGTCTCGTCGCTTGTCCGGGAAATAAACGCGTAACGCGACTCTTTATCAAGCGCGACGAGATAAAAAAAAAAGCGAGACTAATGAACTAATTAGGACGTAATAAATCCTGAAATCGTTATTTTTTCGCCAGGGTTGTCGAGGCACGCGAGCGACAGAGGGAAGTCGCGTCTCAATGGGGTAGGTGGAAAAATGAAACGCGACCATGATTCATCGTCACCGACGGCTTTTATTCGACACGATCGCGAGCAGTACAAGGTGAATTGATGATTTAACGCCGGTTATCGTGAATAAGTCAGTAATCAAAAGCCGTGATTCTCCGGACTGAATGCTCGAAGGCTTCGAAAACGACGTTTAGGGAGAAAAAGGGAGAAGAATTTTCATTGGAAAATACATCTGTAACTGTTTTCGGAGTTCTATTCCGGTGTTCTGATATTGAAGGGTGGTCGAGAGATAGAACGTGATTGAAACCTTTATTATGCGTCATTCACATGCAAATTACTGTATTTAGAATACTAATCTGTTAATTTTAGTCATTTCTTTCTTCCCTTCGAGAGTCTCGTGGAATTATAATTTAATTACCAAAAATTACAACAGGAAATTCTTTATTCTCATTCAAACGTACTGTAATATACTCGCAGCAAATGGGACACCTCACTGTTTTCATGAGGAATAAATTAATTTTTCGATTCTATTCGTATACCTAACTAGCAAGTAGAGTTGAATTATTTCGATGAAGATTACTGTATTGTAAAATTACGATAAAACAAAATTACATATTGTTGACATTTCCTTGATATAAGTGGTACCCTGCTGACCACAAGTACCTATGTATACGAACAATTTTAACATCTAACCCAGATTTTCAAAAAAATATTCAAACGCAGACGAAACGAATTAAAATCAGTTTCTAAAAAAATATGGAGAAAACATCTGTTCATTTTCCTATTTCATTTCCTCCGTCGCTTGTTCGAAAGGGTAAAGGCTACGAAATGCATAGAAGGATGGAATTGCGAGGGAATCAGGGAGTGCAAGAGAGAAGGAGAGAAAGGCGAAGGAAAAAGTGTCGCGGAAAGGGAGAAAAGAACATCGCACTCGCATATTGTGCAAGAGGATTACCTCGGATTATGCGCGACTGAGCGCAAACAAGATCGTGCTGGCTTGTGTTTACAAGATGCCAAGCTGTCGATTTAGTGAACTCCGACTCTCGGTCTATCTCCTCCGTCGATTTGTATTAAGTCTGAATGCCATTAACGAAAAGAACCTGATCCTAAATTTGTTCAAATCTCGTGGCAATGCAAGCTTCACGCGATTATTCTTGTCGATTTGCTTTTCTTTCTGCTCGCATTATTACATCTTATTTTATTTTCACCAGTCATCTTATTGCGTTATCGTCGTTATTATTTTATTATCTGGTTTCATTTCTTAGATTTTAAATGGGAGTTCGAGGGAACTTTCTGCTGGTAAAGTATAGGGGTGTTAAGGGTGGAATAACGTTATATTTCTAACAGAAACTACTGAAACGACATACGATAATTTGTTAAAGCTGCTGAAATTTGTACGACTTATATTCTAACACAAGAATTTTTCTTCCTTTCGGTTTCTAAAATTTATGTTATTTAAATTTATTTTCATCGATCTCCTATCTGGATTACAATGTCTAAGAAATGTTAACTTGTTCTGTAATTATAAAAAATAATTATGAAAAATATATATCGAAAACACGTATATATACCTAAACCCGTATAATAACAAATTGATATTGTTCATAACAAATTAATATTGTTAATAACAAATTTTTCATAACTTGAATTTACAATAAAAGTGAAAAAATTAATAAATTATTAGCTATAACATGAATTTATAACATACTTGTGTTAAAATCTACCTACAATTTGCAAAAAGATTATTAATTATTACACCTATTGTTAATAACAAATTAATATTGTTAATAGCAAATTGCCTACAATGTAAATTTACAATAACGGCAAAAAAATTAATAAATTATTAATTATTAAGGCGAAGAAATAATAATTAATAAAATCGGCCAA